AGTGTTGGTGTATCAGAATGAATTTGTGTCTGCGTGTGTGTGTTAATGCGTGTGTGGATCACACATTTCTATTATGTGTGATTTACACTCACCACACCACACACACCCTCACACATTTTACAGCAACGCTACTCCGCTGCTGTGGCGGTGTTGTGTTGTACATCATGAAATGAGGCAACACTGATTTGTTTCTCGCCTTTAAGTCAGCGTGTTGTAATGGGGCTCTGGTCTCTGCATTTTCTCTGATCACTTGACACATGCTCAGGCTGTGGGCTTGAAAGATCCGGGCTTTTTCACTTGCTGGGAGATGTGATGGAGCCCTTAAAGAGGATGAATAATTACCATCAGAACATGAGAATGTTTATAGGGGACTGGACTGGCAGCTTCACACTCCAGCTGAACACTAAGCGAGAAAGAGGGAGTGGTGGGAGAGAGTGAGAACAAACCAAAGGAGGAAAGGAGAGGGGAAGGGTGTATGGTCAGAGTTTGGCCAATAAGATATTAGCCTAATGGCCTAACTGAGGGTGAAAATGAGGACATGGCTGAGATGGCACGAGACAGGGGGAATAACCCCACTTTAAGAGGACTCTCAGGACTTGTTAGGCCTGGGCAGGTTTAAGAGCTTTGGGCGCTCCTGTCATATTTCTCTTTCATTTGAATTTAGACCTCTTGTGTTTTCTCTGTCTTTCTCATTCTCTGTCCCTGCCTGCCTCACTCTTTTTTCAATCCCCTCCCTGCAGAAATGGCGGGCGCCAAGTCACTATAACAAGATATGGCAGTTTCATTCCAAATAATGACCCCAGGATTAACAAACAGAGTCCTGGAATGGTATTTAAAACAAAGCGGGGAGCAGACTGGCCTTGCATTGTTACTGCCTATGCTTTACTTTAGCACACTTTCTGATTGGCCTAACAGACTTTCTCTCGGGAAGGACATTCACAGTCTTGCCTACTCCTGAAGTGAAAAAAAAAAAAAAAAAAAAGGCTTCTCTCCCAGGTCTATTTCAGGTGAATGTCCTATAAGATCCATAGGATTAGGGCAATAACCAGTTTTTAGATGAAAACTGCAGCCAGTACCACCTTTGAGGCCAGGCCAAAAAGTAATAATATCGAGAAGAGTGATGAATTCCTCTAGAACATGACTCAGATTAAAATTTTGAAGGTGGTATTGATTTGAAGTGAGAAGTTAGCACAAGGTCAGGGTGTTAAAAGCTAATTTTAATGGTAATTGCTCTAACTGCTCATGGCATTCTCTGTTGGCCGGACTCCAGGCTCTGTGCTGACACGTGTGTGCCCTCACCTACACGTATATTAATACTCACAACATGTTGTGCATAATAAATTTAGTTCCATAGGTTTATGTGATTGCATACTGCATGTGGCACACTGCATACCTACTCACGTTGGCTTGCATATCCATAGCTGTAGTTTTCAAAATGCACATACACAGCTAGTTAGTCTCCAACTTCTGGTCATGCAGGGACCACTCCACCCTCACACCAACAAGCTCATGGTGTGTAATAGATTATTTTTGGTAAATTGGAAAGACTTGGTAAAAATGTGTGTGACCAAGACTAATGTGTCTCAAGCTCAAAAGGGTGGTCTCTGTTTACTTTAACATTTCATCAATGATGATTGGTGAGGGTGTGAACTCATTTGGGGTCTGTTTTACTGTTTATTCCGTTGTGTGTTGTCAAGGCAGTGTGCATGGATATACAGTATGTTTGCGTTGTATTTTCCGATGTGGTAAGACACTGTTTGGTTGGGCAAGGTTGTATTTCGGGTATTGGGGGGGTAACCAGGGCACTGACGTAAGTAGTGAGACTGTGGTATTTCCAATGATAACCACCAGTGGAGTTAAAATCATACGGGGTGCAGACATTGACTCATTCACCCAAACACTCACACGTGCAGATACACTACAGCATCACAACCTTCTTCACAAATAAACACACATTCACACAGAGCGTGTCCAGTCCCAGGGGTAAAGTCTCCTTAGTCTAGACAGCTGAGCCACATGACAGAGAGCAGCAGCCACAGAGTTCTGTCATGTCTATATGGATCCCCTGCAGAGCTCAACAGGAAACACTTCACTAATGCAGTCTGACAGGAATACTCTAACACACACACAGCCCTCTACAACAAAACGCTATTGACAACCCAATGATATCACAGCGGTTTATGCAGCACTCTCAGCACATTACTCAATGAAAGACAGTCCATGAAACACAATCTGTCCTGTCAGAGTCAATTTTTGCCATCTGTGACTATATGGATATTTAGTGAAGTACATGAACATTGGAATTGGTTGTGTACAAGGCTTACAGAAACAATGTAGCTGAAGAATAAGAATAAGGGAGAAGGCAGATTGGAAAATATGGGTTGTCAAATGGACAAAATATACATTGCGGTCAAAGAACTGTGCATAGTACGTAATGATGCAACAATGATTGTAGGCATCATGACAAATACAGTCCATTTCATAGTCCCTGGATGCCCGAGGCACCTGGATGCGGAGTGTGAGAAAATACTGTAAGAGAGTCCAGACGCGATGATCTCGGCCCTCAGTCTGGTTTCTTCCACTTACACGCACACACACACACACATGCTTTACACACATGCACCTGTGACCTCAGTCACTCAGCTGTACACACACACACACACACACACACACAGACATGCTCCCACCCACAAGTTTTAGGCAGGTTGCCACATCGACCACAAATCAGGGTAACTAACCATCCTTTTTGTCCATCACCCCAGCAACACACTCTTGTTGTCATGACAACCCATTTGGCTGTTTTAGTGATATTTGGGAGCATGGCGTCTGAGGAGGCACGGCAGTGCTGTGACATCACCGCTGTTTCATGACAACTGTGGGAGAGAGCTGCTGAGCAAGGCAGACCTTTAAATCATGGAATATGTCTTAATGTGTCTTCAGAGGGACCCCCCTTCCCTCACCTCTGACGCCCTGATGGCTTTAACATCCACAGACCTCAGACTAACCTGGTAGAATGTGTGTTCTGTCTATATGCCTCTGTCTCAGACCCTTCGATTTCTGCTTCTCTCTTAGACCCAGTCTCTCCCTTATCTGAGTGTCTTCTTTCACAAGAACTGTCCATTGAGAACTGAAGGTGTTATTTGCCCTTCAGGTTCATATGGTGAATGCAAAAGCTAATTGAGGGGGTTGTTGCTGTGGGATTTGTGTGCTTGGCTGTTGCCATGAGTGTCAGCACAGACAATCGACCTTCGTCTGGACCACAGCAGGCACACCAGGACATGTCATGTCTAGGACACTGTGTGTGTGTGTGTGTGTGCGTGTGTGTGTGTGTGTGTGTGTGTGTGTGTGTGCGTGTGCATTCTCTCAGTTCTCATAGCTCCCTCTCCTTCTGTAGGAGACAAGAAACCTGAGTGCCAACATTACATCACCTCAATGAAGTGTCAGTTAAACATCATATAACATGATACTGTACAGCAAATGAAAATAACAGTGAATTACGAAGAAAGTTAAATATAGGATTAATACAGGACAGTACAGTCTTAATCTTATGTCTTATGTACTGTAGTATATTGATTTTATATAATATGTTAGAGGGTGCTACAATAGTTTTGTGGTAAAGAGGTTACTTTTATTTATTTATTTAGTCTTTATTTCACTAGGTTTGTCTCATTGAGATCAAAGATCTCTTTTGCAAGGGAGACCTGACCAAGAGTAGCAGCAACACCGAGTTTCAACAACAAATACCATTTACATAAAAGCACATAGATTTGAGTAATATCAAATGATTATATAAAACAGTTGCACACAGGCAGCTTGGACTCAATAGATTTCACCTTGGTTTTAAACTCATTCAAGCTCACCAGGTCTTGAAGCTTAAGATCCTTCTGCAGATTTTTCCATGCTGAAAGTGCAGAGAACCTAAAAGCTTTTTGCTTTTTTTTTTTTTTTTTACCCCAATTCAGTTTTGACTTTGGGCACAACAAGATGCCAAAAAGTTCTGCCAACAGAGATTGTAATTTCCATATTTCATTTTCAAGGAGAAGATTAGTAGGTAGAAATAATATCTTTGTAAATAAAATCATACCAGTGACTTAGGCATCATAAACATAAAGCAGGTCAATTCAGTTTTTGAGTATGAAACACAATAGTGTCATTACAAACTGTAATGAATAACAGAGCCCCATGATACACGTTATCTAGCATGTGAAGAACACATTGTCATGATAAATGTCAGGTAAAAAGGTAGACTCCACCATTTTCCGTTTGACTCGATTTACTTTTATTGCGCCTTAAAAGACAAGTGGTCATCAATTAAAAAAACCTAGGTATTTTAAAGTAGATAGCGGTTCAATTTGTTTACCACCTCTGGTAACATTTCTGGAAAAACAAACAAACAAAAGTTTTGTTTTTTTCTGCAGAAAAGTTGCAGCTGACAAAGCTGTTTTCATATTCTGTCAAATGTGTACTGAAGATACTCAAAAGGTTTAGCAGGGGTAGGTGCAAAGCAGTAATGGACACTGTCATCAGCATAGAAATGAAAGGCAGAGTTTAGTATATTTTACCCAATGCAATTTTTGTATATAGTAAATAATGAAGGACCCAGAAGTGACCTTTGTGGTACCCACTTGAGAACTTGCAGTACTTCCGAGGTGGCACAATACCCTGGGTTCTTGCTGTGAGATTTGAGAGTTTGCATAACACCCAGCTGCATGCTCAAAAAACAATATCTGTAAAATGCCTGGTTAGAATATTGTGGTAAACAGTATTAAAGACCTTAGAGAGATCAATGAAAAGAAAAAGACAGCACTGCTTGTTATCAAGTGCTTCTACTTCGTCACAGGACCAGAAGTTTAAACAAAACTAATTCACATTAATACTGGGTGCACACAATACTGAACAGTGATGCAGAGACAGAATCTGATTGGTTGTTTAGGAAAAGCTGTTAAAAAACAATGTGTGAATCCAATGTCTTTCTCCTTTTTACCTCCTTCCTTTTCCAGAATCACGTCCCCTGTCCATTCCAATGAAGGTGATGCCCGACACCACAGCAGTGGAGTCATGGACAGCCTCAGAGGAGAGAATGAAGGAGCTCATCGCCCAGGCCTGGGATGCTGTTAAACGCCTTACTCTACAGGTACCAAACTATCCTCTATACCATCACTGTTGTACTCGAGCAGGTATACAAGATACCCATTTTCTTTGGATGGTGGTCCTTGTTGTTGCTCACTAGGCAGTGATATGCAAGTTTTCACTGTATCTAGTCCTGTTGGGGGCAGAGACATGCCACTGGGTCATGTCCTTATACTCTAGGACTGAGGGGTCAAAAAGAGTTCATCCTGCCAAAATATTCTTAAGCTGCACACTGAATTCACATTATTGCAATTAGATTCTTTGAACTAGCACCAGCATATCTATCAAAAACTGTCATCACATTTATCTTTGAGCAGAAGTGCCAACTTACTGCTCTTTGACTTGACCTGATACAGAAGTTACTGGCTGTCACACATATCCGGGAGCAGTTTTACAGTCCCAAATCTACTTTAGAGACCATTAACTCCTCTTTCCCTCAGAGGTACTGAGGTTTAGCTTAGCCCAGCCCAGCTTAGCTCTCTCTGTGGTTGTGGCCATATGGCTTCCAGGGACCTCTGTTAGCTGTTAGCTCATTAGCCTGTTTTACATACAAATGCATACGTAGCGTCTCGTGTCCCTTTGTGGTGGGCTGACTTTCTCTTTGACTGGCTGGCTAGCTGGATGTCCCTGTCTGTCTGTTTTAAGTGTCTAACTGGATAGTTAAGTGCTCCCATTGTGTGGATTCTTGCTGCATCTTGACTGGACCAGTTAGCAGAGCCCACATCACAACCAGTCCCATCTGAAATACATCAGGAAGTGCTGACAACTCTCTGACAGGGCTCTTGATGCAGAAACAGAACGTCATGGTGTATGCACACGTGTGTGTTTCTACGCACACAGTACTCATGCAGTTCAGTACATTACTGATCGGGGAATATGGACATCTTTGTGTCCAGTGATGTATTAGGTTAAATTTTAACTGCTGATCTACAATTTGCAAACATTACTGTGAAGATGGTGACCACATTTACCCAAAGTATTAATTTTGTGTTGTTACGCCAATATTCTGGGTTTTTGGTTGGCCACTGTAAACATCAGATCTGTGTTACAGTACTACAGTTAGGCTAATATTGTCATCATGAGAGACCTGGTTGGGATGCCTGGCTTACTTAAGCATCCCACAGATCACTGCAGCATTTGACTGTCGGTTTTCTCTGTCAGCACACAGTCAGACTCAGACAAGGTTATTGTTACATGGTGATGTCAACAGATTATCATCTCACAGATTACTACAGAGATGATAACTCCTTTGAATCCTTTTTTCATACGTTTTCAGAAGTGTGTTGTAGATGCAGGCAAGTCATCACAGGCGCACAGAAGTTTTCTCTGGTTGATTCACGGCAACAGGGATACTCTGTTCCAGGGAATTCAAAGTGCAGGTGAACTTAATCAGTCTTTAATTGGAATATGACTTATAGGCATGTATTTTTGTGCACGTAAACAATAACCACTGATGCAGGAGTCCAACAACCATTCTTAATTCATCTTAATTCTTATTGCTAGGACCACACAAACTGATGTCAGTCAAACATGAAAGAGAGCATGACGCATGTGAATTGAAATAATGCTTCAGAGCCCAGGTCCCATGTCAGCCCATTGAGCTGTTTACAGTACTTCCACAAAAGTTAACTCAACCCTCTAATAGTTTGCTGAGCCCGTCATTGCCTCCACTTTCCTCTGTCCCCTTCGGCTGTGTGACTGGGACCACACCACGTACTGGAGCAGTAATTAGGAAACAGTCTGTCCTGTTGACATGGGAGTGGAAGCGGACCAAACCGAGCGACCCGACAGCTGGTACCCCAGGCCTTGGATATCCCCAAACTTAAACCACTCCATTTATTTTAGTGTGGTGTAAACAGAATACCTAATGGCTCACACTTCTGCTGCACATGTGCCCAATTTGGCATGCAGGGCTTTCTCCGTCTTTTACAGAAGAGAGAGGAACAAGAGGAAAGAGTGAAGGTAAAGCAATGAGATTGAGGGAGAGAAAGTTACAAAAGTATTTATTATTCTATGGCTGCTGAGACCACTTAAGGCTGTTTAAACAGAATAGGGACATGTGATAGCAGGTGATTGTGTAAATTGTTTTAAGAAATTCTCATAGTCAGATGCAGTCATGATGCTTTGTCGCTGCGACATAAATTCTTTCCTGTAGATTCACAGCAGAAGGTAGAGGTCTTGCACAGAGTGTGGCCTCATTTTAATATGAGAAGGTTAGAAAACAGTGATAATGCAGATTGGAAAAGCTGCAGCACATAAGGTTTACATTTTCAGCTGTTTGTTGTCATTTATTCCACCAGTGTCAGCAGTTCACAAATAGCATCGAATGGAAAGATGTTCTAGATTTTCATTTTAGTGTCATACATTACAAGGTCTAATGCACTTTGCTGCATCATCCTTTATCTTACCTCAAGAAACAGCACAACCTCAAAAAAATCTGTGCAAGCAATTCTGTCCCACTGCACTGTGCATTTCATTGCAGTGTGACTCTATCCTTGAGTATAGCTTATGTAATGTCTTAGACACATATCCCACTCAAAGTCTAAAACCAGAACAGCAGCTGGAAAAAGCAGAACATGCACCATTTCTATTTGTAGCTTTCTGCTCCAAAATCATTCTTTACACCATACTTGTCTTTTTCAATGACAAACGTAGTTAGCGTTGATTCCTGGTGATGGCCCGTCATGCGTGGTTAGGGCACAGATTATTATCTGAATCCATGAGTGTCACGCTCTATCTGTAGCTGAGTGCTTCAAGCAAACCCCAGAAATGATTCTGAGCCATGGTTCCTCTATGACTTCAAATCCAGTACATTCCTATGTATCTCAGTTTGTAACACCCTCTTCTCCTCTTACCTCACTAGGAATGATAGGCGATTTTCACCCTGCAATGAAAATGGTCAAAACATTATTTGTAATCCATTCAAAGCCACCAGAGAACTTCCTTTAATCTCCTTAAGAAACTGTCAATAATGAAGACAGACGGGCAGCTAATGTTAAAAACAGACAAGCCAGCTGGCCAAAAGAGAAATGGTTCAGTTTATTTAGCTACGTGAATCACTGCTTAGACAAATTGGGACAGTAATGGAATTGGATCGATTTACGGTTTTGCCAATCCAGTCCGGTGTACAAGCTTAACTGTTTCTTAAACTTTTATACAACCTGGCTGAACAGGCATTTGTCATTATGGCACATTCTGGCAAATTAAAAGTGGCCTAACATTACATCTGCCAGCTGTGCCGATGGCGCCATGGCGCAAGACTTGATAGAAAGTGGGAATAAAAGGCAAGGAGGCAAAGATGATTAATTATGTTCTTACCATCCCAATCCCTTCAGCACTGTTTGCGTCAAGCACTCTTGTTGCCGAATGCCTTACCGATACCATCTTGCTTCTGGGTGCCATAGCCAGAAAAACTGTCTGTAGTGCTATCGGGCAGGTGAACCTGTGTTGCTGTGCCTACATTAGCATTAAGTTAGCAGCAGAGGTAGTAACAGAGCCGGGACTCATTATGTTCCGCTCTGGAGCAGCTGCTGAGTCAAGTGCAACACCTAGTGGTAAAATTCAATATTCTAGCCCAGTGCAGTGTTAGGCTTAATATCAAACCGGTTTGAAAATTTCTACAACGGCCAAACTGTAGACAATAGTTGACAAGTGTAGATGCACCTCAGGGGAAGATGAACCGGGAGTAAGAGAGAGTCTGGATGTGGGAGAAAAAGACATTGACTAAGGGCAAACAAGCCAGTGTCTTGTCACACCATTGCAACAGGCATGGTGAGGTCAGAGGGACATACCATCCAAACTAAGCCTCTCAAGCCCAGGATGGTGGAATCTCTCAGACATTATGTACCGCACCGCACAGATCATCCATGTTGTACACACGAGGGAGCGTGTGTGTGTGTGTGTGTGTGTGTGTGTGTGTGTGTGTGTGTGTGTGTTTTTCCCTGTAGAGGCAACTAAATCTCTTGGTCATGCAAGGCTACAATTTGTGTAGGTGGTGTTATTTTAGTAGTCACTTCACATTAGGGCTGAAGGGCAGTGCTGCAATTGTCACCCTGGCCAGAGTCGCCTGGCACATCTTAAAATGGCCACTTGCCCCAGCCTTGGAGTCCTGACCCTCCTCTTTACTTCCTTCTCTTACTCCAACTCTTTTGTTACTCTTGCGTACAGTACATCTCCTGAACTCCCCACTTTGCCTTCCGTGTTCTCACCTCTCGGGTCCTCCTCTGTCCCCTGTGTTTCTGCCCCCACTTATTTCCTGCCTACCCCTCTCCCCAACTGCTGCTCACCCTTACCCCTTTTCATCCTGTCATCTCCCCTTCTCAGCCCCATTCTCCCTGGGGACACCCATGTTCTCTCTGGACCCTGATAATAATTGCAAGTGATTAGGATGGTGATTCTATTTCAGGAATTTTGCAATAATTCCTTCTATTTAACACATGAATGTGTTCAGCGCTGGCAAAGGAGCACGTTGCTACCAAAACTGAAATGGGATCTGCTGAAACAGAGAGACCGTTGCCATGGAAAAATGAAGTAACACTGCTCCCTGCAGCTGCCATGCATTAATGAGTAGGATATTTTTTGAGAGAGAGAAGGAGGAGAAAAAGCAGTGGGGTAGAAAAGGTAAAGTGATGGAAAGGAGATGGAGGGTAGGAGGCGAGAAAAAGGAGAAAAATGGGCAGAGGGTGAATTTTAAGGCAGGAGGGAAGTGAGAGGGAGATAGAAAGGAGGATCATGTGTACTGTATGTTTGGTGTGGCTCAGATCGAGCTGGCCAGATGGTTTCCATGAACAGGATCTGACCCCCGGCTGGAGCGCCTTCTGCAGGCACATTACTTCATCCTCTGCCCCCCTTTCTCCATCCTATCATCCCTCCACTCAACACCTCACCCTCCCTGTCTGTCAGAGCCCACAATTTCCAAATGATTTGCAATCGCAACTTGAATTTTATGCCACTTCAAACACCATGTTTATATGTGGATTGTAATAAATTGTCAACTTTTCAGAC